CCTGTGGAAGGCCTGTTTGTAAAAGATCGGTTTTTGATAGAGCATCTCCATATCTGACTTTACACGATCTTTGTCCAATGAATGCTTTTATCCAGTTTAGCATGTTATGCTTAATATCAATCTATATCAATTTAGCATGTTATGCTTAATACCAATCTTTGCAATTTTTAATTTGGCATGTTATGCTTTGTAAAATGAATGCTTTTATCCAGTTTAGCATGTTATGCTTAATCCCAATTTTCGCAAATTTTAGAATTAGCTTCTCTTTCCATACTAAGTCCAATTTTAGAATTAGCTTCTCTTTCCATACTATGTCATATGCGTTTGAAATCGACGAAAACAGCCGCAAGGGTATTTCTTGCACCAATTTTCGAATTAGCTTCTCTTTCCATACTAAGTCATATGCTGATTTGAAACCGACGAAAACAGCCGTAAGAGTATTTCTTGCATCAAGGGAGGTGAATACAGCCGTAAGAGTATTTCTTGCATCATGGGCATTGATACTAAGTCATATGCTGATTTGAAATCGACGAAAACAGCATATTTCTTGCATCAATGGCATCTTTGATGTGTTGGAAGACCAATTTTCGAATTAGCTTCTCTTTCCATACTAAGTCATATGCTGATTTGAAACCGACGAAAACAGCCGTAAGAGTATTTCTTGCATCAAGGGAGGTGAATACAGCCGTAAGAGTATTTCTTGCATCATGGGCATTATAGCCGTAAGGGTATTTCTTGCATCAATGGCATCTTTAATGGATACTAAGTCATATGCTGATTTGAAATCGACGAAAACAGCATATTTCTTGCATCAATGGCATCTTTGATGTGTTGGAAGATTTGCATTAAGGGCATCTTTGATGTGTTGGTGACCTAAAAACTGCTTGTTCATTGATAATAATATTGTTGGTCTCAAGGAAGCTGCTTGTTCACTCCTAAGAATATTGTTGGTCTCAAGTAAGAGCCTCTTGTTAACCATTCTTTCCATAAGTTTATCCAGCACCGCCTCCTGTTAACCATTCTTTCCATAAGTTTCGCCAGCACAGCTCCTGTTAACCATTCTTTCCATAAGTTTAGCCAGCATGTGCCTCCTGTTAACCATTCTTTCCATAAATTTAGCCAGCACACTGTGAGGAAGACAGGCCTATAGTTGTCAAAGTTGCTAGGGTATTTGCCTTTGTCAAAATTGCTAGGATCTTTGTCCCTTTTTAGTACTGGTATTACTATGGCAACTTTCCATTGGTTAGGTACGAGACTGGTCTTCCAGATTTTGCTGAAAAGTGTCAGCATGATTTCCTTGGCTTTTGGTCCCATTCTAATTAGAAATTTCGGATGAATACCGTCTTCGTCAGGAGACTTTTGGACTTGAGCTGTTTTATCGCAGTATTAAGTTTGCAAGGTCTGAATGGTTCAGTAAGTACATTATTTGGTGTTACTATGTCTTCCTTAATTTCACCCGACTGTCTTACTTGTATCTTTAAATCTCTTGAAGATTTTCTGACAAAGGGGTTTTTCTTTTGCTTGTGGGAATAGAACCTAGCAAAGCAGTTAGCTATTTCGGTGTCGGTGGTAAGCAGTTTGTTTTTTAAACATATTGTGCGGGGAAAATGTGATAATTATGTTTCACACTTGTTCACATTCTGATCAAAGGGATTTCATGTGCATTCAAATGTCGTTGAAAGTGACCAATATTCGTACAGTCAGGCATAGTTGAAAAATTATTTAATAGCCAAAGGTGCCGACAATTTGCCCACATCCTCAATAGGTTCCCTATACTCTAATCCACCTCCTTGTTTCACACATATTTAAAAATGATCTATCTTATTTTGGGGGTTAATTTACATCACAATACTCTGCAAGAGGTTTGGAAGTGGACATTTGAACTTCAGTAGTGACATAAGCTGTTTTTTTTAACTAAATATATACACTCATTTGATTACAAAGTTGACATACCACCATTTCAAGAGATGCCTCGGGCGGTTTTGCTGTGTCTCTAAGGGAATTTGACGATTTCAAGGAAGAATGTCGATATAAGACAGTGCTACAAAGAAGTGCTCTAATCTTTAAAATAATCTTTCAATTCCTCCCTTATCAGGCGTAATTTTACGTAAATAAGACATAACAAATAAAAATATAAAATTAGAATTTATTCATGGGATGATTAGAAACTTGTAAAATAGTAGTCCTCTAAGCTTGTATAGGTTCCCCAATCCCTCCATAATTCCACTAACTTCCTGTTCATTCGACACCTCCCATTTCGAACTAAACCTAACCAGCGAGGTCAACCAATTTGTTCACTGGATATACGTCGATGGTGAATGATCTCATAACCTCTAACCTTGTGGACGATCGTGTTAGCGATTGCGACAAGAGCAGTCGCTTACATAGGCCATTTCTCCTCTGTTAACAACATAAAAAAGTTTCAACGAGTAGTTTGACAAATTCGTTTCATTTTATCTGCAATTGCACGACAGTAAATAGAGTTCAAATCACATCTTTTACAAGTGCCAACAAATGGTTGGCAGAGATAAGGTAAGGGTCAGATAAGGAGAAAGAGAGGTCAATGTAAATATTAGTCTCCACAAAAGATAATGCAGTAAGGGGGGGGAGAGGGGTGCGGGAGTTGGGAAGATAAGGATAATAGTTGTAGGTAAGCCAATTGTTTATACAGCTTCAGCTTGATAGTTTCAAATTTCCTGGCCCAAAATCATCTAAAATATTGATATACAGGTGTCGTTGTCGTTGCTGCTGTGAATTGCGTCGAAAATTTCTTCGATCCACATTGTGCACAAATTCGTCCAACTCTGTTATCTGTTCTTGGGAGGTTTGAGTCTCCACGGAGACCTGGGTCCTACCAGAAATGTGCCCAAAAATAGGATTATACGTTGAAGGTATGATAGTTCGAGGAACCCCTGGACCACTGCTATTGGGAAAAGTACATGATCGATGAATAGAGGATGCTGATTGGCCAGACTGACTTGAAGTATAGAGACTCGTTCCCATGACTGGATGGTGTGAAGGACGTCCGCTACCGCCAACACTGCTATTAGTGCTGCTTTCTGGTGGTGAAGGGATATTGATCGAAGTGCATGAACTATCAGAGAAGAACGTTGGAGTGGTGTTCGAATTAGGGTGTGATGAGGTTAAGGGAGATGGAGCTGGAGCAGTTGCATGAAGAAGACTCCAAGAAGACTCGTTGGTTGTGGTTAAGTGAGAATCTGTAACGGGAGAATGGGGACTATCCTTCTCAATTGTCTTCGATACACTTTCTGAATTGCAAAGAGGTCCCGGTTCACTAGTTGTCTGCAAGAAAAGGCAACTTAGAAAACCGATCATATACGTCTCTAGCTACGTTGTAAACAAATTCTTACATTGAAGGTGCTGCCAAGTCTTTGATTGGGCTCTCTTTGTTCTTTAGCATAAACGCGTCTATGATAGACGCCTCCTTTGGGTTCTACCAGCTGTGTAGATTTTGCCTTTGCAGAGAGCACTGGAGTTCGCGTCTTCAAACTATCATTATCTTCCTCCATAATGGGGATGTCCATTTTACATCTTGTTGAAGCACTGGAGCGCTCCTCTTGGGGACTAGATCGAACTAACGAGAGGGCTGATACACTTGAGGCCAGCTCTTGGCAGATATTTTCCTGACTGTCTTGATTAGCCATGCTGGAAGCCTCTTGACTATGCCAATCTTTCACATCAAGAGTTGTGAGGTGGGTGAGCGATGTTAGGATTGAACGAAGACTTCGTAAGGGCTGATCCAGTTTCTGAAGTAAACAGTGGGAGCGATAATCATTTGATAATGGGAAACGTCATCTTAAGCCGCCAACTGGGTCGAGTGCCAAAAACGGCAATTTAAACAGAGCACAAAGATGACAGATCGTAGGCTTTGTACTCACAATTCCCATAGCAGATAATTCAATTGTAACAGTAATTTTACCACGGGTCCCTATGATCACCTTACTTTGACAGCATTAATAAGAAATTATCTTTCAATTTTTGTTTTTTCGCCAACTTATTAGGATGGACTTGAAGAGTAAAGGGAGTAAAGATGGGAGTTACCGAATTATCAAGTTAACAGCTCTTTCCAGCCTATCCTTTCTTTCATCAACAACTACACGGTCATCCTCCTCTCAATCAGTTTTCTTATCACCCATCCGGGGAGGGAAAAGGTCTATCAATGGCAATCGATCCTCAGGTGCCTTCTCATCTCAGCTTCGATTGAGGGGTGCATACTCTTGACAAATGAGAGGTTAAAAACACTTCTACCAATACCTCTTTTATCTTATCAAAGGCGCCCTTAGATTTAAATCTCACCTCCTTTGTCACCCTATGCACAATCCTACCATTCTTCGATCAGTGTTATCAACCTAGGTTAATCGATAATCACCCATCTTAGTTACTTAAATATCATCCAATCGCAATGAAATACATTAGTTCATTTAATGATTATGTGCCAATAGTTATCCCAAATAGACGGATAAGTTTGAATATTAGGACAGAGAAAAAATCGGTTCAAGAAGCTGAGTTGATAGATCGTGAATATCTGCAAGCTGGAGTCGCTTCAGTGGTGGATTCAATTTAGAGTATGCTAACACCAAATAACTGTGCTTTATCCAAATCTACTTCGAATTTGCCACATTCCATTACATACCATTCTGACACGCCAACACTTGGATAATTTCTACCCCATTCCGCTAATGGCCAATTTAAGGACGCAGAGATTTCATTGGTCAGATTACCCAAAACCCTACCTACTGCCAATTGAATGGGAAGCTCTATTATTACATTTCTGTATTAGCTGAACTTCTGACTTCTGACATTGTTTTTTTTGTTTATTCAGTACATTCTTTACGTTTTTCAATTTTCGGGACTTCTGCCCTCTCTGTCTGGTTCTGTATTAATGCAAATACCACACCGATAAAACCGTAAGTGGTCGCAGCAATGAGATACGTAAAGATGGGAACGACATCACCACCGACCTCTGCAATCATACCTATTGTGAGGTGGGAGATATTTTCTAACTAATTTAGACAAAGTTATGACACGACAATATGGAGGAGTGCAAATAAGCCATTTTACCCCTCCCCTCCCTCTACTAATAGGGATCAGCCAAAATCGCCATTCTCTCGACTATTTCTAATGCAACTTTCAGCTAAATCATAACTGACCATTTTAAGCAATTGACCTTCCTAGTTCCAATCATGGCTTGAGAGAGCTGAATGGGTGAAAAGTAACCGTTCTAAACTTGCTGTTATAACGAAGTCAACTATTGCGTAGAAAGCTGCATATACTACTACAAATTGTAAGTAGAACAAATAGCTGGAAATATAAGAAACTAGCCTCTTCAGGAATCATAGCAAAGGCGGCTTCAAGTTGGGCATGACAGTGGGCCAGGGACGCAGCCAAGTTGAGTTGATCCAGATCTTTGGAGCGCCCAGAAGCCATCAACTGCCCAGGTATACCGAAGATAGCCTGTTGGCAGCCTGATACGTCCGATTGGAGATCTTGAAGCTCTGTCATCCACTGATGACGCAAAAGTTCCTCGTGAGAATTCTCGACATTATTGTTGGAAGAGACTGGTGGCCCTGAAGCCACTATCAAGTCGTGGTGCGAAGCCGGACACGGAAATTCACCCTCCAGCATGATTGATGTCTGAAGTTATAGGGTGAATACTGATCACTAGCTCATTCGAGTATTAGAAGAAAAAAATTTTTAATTACCATAGCAGAAAATAGATTTAGATCAGATCCATTTACATTCACTTTCATTGCTAACCAAATTAAGAATATCATTAATAGAATGCGAGTCTCAGGCTCTAAAGTGTTTATCTAGACGATAACTTGTTATTGGTTACCAACTAGATATCAGAGGACACTCAACAGCCAGCAAGCTGACATTTGAGCATCTTTGCACACGTTCTTCATTGATTAATTTGTGCTTTTGCTTCGATTTCCGATTTCTTGTTCTATTTTCATTGTTTACTCATTTCTTGGTGTGGTTTAATTCAACCGTGGCCACAATCACATTGTGGAGGTGTTTACTGTCTTGGTAAAGAGCCATCATCTAGCATAAGACGGATGGGTACATACAATGGATAAAATGCGCCTTTGGACAATTAAATTAAAATGATCATGACCAAATTAATGCAGCTAAGCAAAAGGAAAATATGAGGAGTATTTTAAATCAGAATTAGGTTAACAACATTCCTGAATCAATCTGCCATATGGATTAATGTCAGAATAAATCAAAATAAAGAAAAACTAAGAATGAAGTAGTGGCATTACAAGATCTTCTAAACTCCGTCAGTTATGGTGTACACATATTTCAATGCGATATTCTAAGTACTAAAATTCATCTTTCAGATCTTTAGCTTTCCTTGTGCAAATTATATCCTAGTTATGACATTTTGATTAATTACCTGACCTCTATCCTCCTCTCGTTTCTTTGAAGCTACGTCAAATTTTAAGTAAATGTTATGTAAAAAAAAGTATTCGGGACTGGAGTTTATCTTTGAAATCAAGGCCATGCATCTTACACATCGATTGCAGAAGTTATTCACAGGAAGGGGATCAATGCAGAGTTTGGTGGCGGTTGTTGTACAAGCATTTCCCACGGCAATATCCTCCCTCGAGTTCTGCTTGAGGACAGTAAGAACATCCACAAGTCTAGCCGAGTATGTTGTAGCCGTGTCCATGGAAGCCGAGGATTCTGTGACGCCACTGACAGCTTCCTCGCAGAGTGGAGGCTCTGAGAGGCGCCACAGCAAAGCCCGCATTTTGGACATCTCCTCAGCGACGAAACGGTTGAGGAAGTCCATGTGCAGCTCCTTGACATCACCGAATAGGGTGAAATTGGCAAGATTAAGAATTGTCTTTGCCACCTGAGGAGATAAAGCGTTGGATGAGTGAACATGGCCTTTAAATCGTTTTAAGTCGATTCATGATTCATTCTGTAAACATGATCGTCCTAAGACTGCAAAACGCAACTTCTAGATAATTTACTCATTTTTTAAAAATTAACCGAAACGAAAACGGAAAGATTTTGAAGGCATAGTTATCTTTTAAATGATGACATTCTAAAATCTACCTTTAAACATTTTATGCCTCAATCAAAAGCGAAGAGTTCATTCGCACGACTTAGTAAAGTAGATCTGAGACACTTGGATGAAAATATTAACTAATATTCAATATTTATGATCCAAATAAAGTGCCGTATTTCAAAATATTGCCACGAATGTGAGATCTAAAGATATAATTCACCTCAAGCAAAGATTTTTGGAATGCAGTCAATAGAACACAAAAAGTTTCTCTTGCTCAAAATTTAACTCAAATAATTTAAACTAATATGAAACAGACATTTTGACTACCCGTTACTACCTGACTTCAACAATGGAAGGTAAGTACAATAAAGCACTTCAGAATATGGAAACTTAATTTCAGCTTCAGATTAAATCTGCAATTGGCGACATAAAAGCCCCAATTTAGTAAAACAATAAACAAATGCATTTTTTCCCTTTAGAATGCTGAATATTCGGAAATTGAAGTGATAATTGACCATTGAAAGGTAAGAGGGTTGGTACCTTCAAATTCAAGCACCTCATTGAATAAATATGCAAAGAAAAAACACAAAGGAATATTAAATTCAAGAGGAGGAGGGGAGGGGGGGGGTTGACAATGGAAACCAATCGACATTAATTTCAAGGAGCAATAACTGTCTAGTCCCCGGCCCTCACCCTCTTCTCAAATTAGTGGATGAGTCAGATGGGAGATTTAAGCGCATGATTAAGACTTTGCGTGCATGGACGCAGTCTAATGAACACATTCCAACAAAAGCCCCTCTCTCAATGTTCAATAGAACCACGTGTGACTGCATTCTCCATGCAGAAACAAACGTGATTTCATTTCTACTGGAGGCGAATGAAATGAACGCAAAGAAATGCATTCAAGTATTCACTTAATAAAACGAATCGAAAAAGGATATCAGTTCTGCAATTACAAAAAACGTACATCAAACAACTGATGCGAAAAAAGTAACTAAAGTAAAGCTATTGGATGTTAATTAATTTCATTACTGTTTATTTGTGAATTTTGCATAATTATTTAGATGTATGTGACTTCTCAGCTATTCTGATTGGAAAATGATTTTACAGCTTAAACTTGTAAAGTTAAAATGAATAATCAAATGGGCAAATTTGATTATTCATTATCGAGTGGATAACATTTACAAACCCAAAAACAGTATATAAAGCGACGGGAGTACAACAAATACACCTTATTTGATTATAAGATGTCAATTACAGTGTGATAAATGGCTATTCAGAAAAATCATTCAACCAGACTCTGAGCTTCGATTCACCCTCTATTCAAGTAGTCTACGACTACAAACTCACCAAAGTGAAAGTTCTGACCGCTTTAGTATTGTCAGCAAAATTATCGGCCAGTCCGAATAGGGAGGGTGAGAGAATTGCAGGACAGACGAAACGAAGAAAGACACAGGAAGAGATCACGTGCTCGAAAAGACCCCCATACTCGGTTCGAGGTGATTTGAATCCATCTGAGGTACTCCTCGGCATCATAGCTTCTCGGATAGCGGCAAATGTGATTCGCAATTCACTGAAAAAGGAATAGCAGGTTTCTTATAAAACGGAGACATTGTACTATATTCTCAACAGTATTCTTCCTCATATCTGGGCTCAGTAGAATATACTAAGTGGAGTATCTGTGGGAGGTCAAGTTTAAAAGAATTAGAAGCCGAGGGAGGACACCCATTCATTTCCCAGAGTTTCCAACCATATAGGGGGAAAAATGGTCATAATTTAAGCGGAATGAACAATACTTCCTATTATTGCCACTCATTCAGTATACAAGGAACTATTCTAAGCATTTATGCACATTGATATAGTTTTATCATTTGCTTTAAATATAAATATATATATTTCTTACTTAGGAAAAGACGCAATGGTGGTCTGAATCCGCTTCCAAACATCTCGAACCAGTCTTATGAGATTCGCCTGATTCTGCAACAACTGCCTTGAGTTTGTCACCTTGTCCGGGTCAACTTCAAAGTCCGCGATGCTGACCATTTTCTGATTCTCGTCATCTACCGACATACTTCGAGCAGTAGACGACCGCATGCGGCCATGAGGAGTGCGTTTTTCCTTCGCACGGAAAGGTGGAGATGTTTCCGAATTGGGAGACGTACTGTCATTGGCTACTTTAGTAGATGCTGTTTGAGTCAGCACTGAAGTGACAAAGTCACCCAAGGCAGATTTCAAGTAAGAGCCACCGACCTGCTTGAGGTAGAGCTCGATTGCTTTGGTAGCCAGACTATTGCTTCGAAGAACCATGTTGGGATTGTCTATGAGGCAAAATTAGCAAATTTCGCTTATTGTAAATTTCCCATAATGCATTCGTGAGAAGTGAACAGTACTCTTCCACTCTCCCTACACCCCCAAACCTTGGATTAGAGGTCAGCGTAGACACTTGAGTCAGACAAATCAATTTACTTTAAAGCATTACTTAAAGCATATTAATTTTTCCTTTAATAATTCCATTCACCCTCCAGAAAAAAGCAATATTTTTAGAAGAGGAAATCTTTCAGCTCACATTGATCAGACTTCGCCAAGAGAAAATGGATTTAAAAGCCCAAAGTAAGATGAATTCCAATTTTATTTGAATTGACCAGCAAAAAGACCACCAAAACACACATTTCCCAGACTCGAAATTAATTTGGTTGGGATGATGCAAAACATGTTTTTTAACTTTTTTCCTGTGGTAAACAGCCAAACACCGTGTTCAAGCATTGCACTTATTCATTGGCTTACGTTATTTGACCTTATCTAAGGTTTATCAAATTTTTTCCATAAAGGACATTTTTCCTACAGGCGTACTTTTACAGGCTGTTCCCCATAGCGCCAAGTGAATAGTTTGTTTGATTTCTTTAAGATAACCCGAGGCAACGTATCTTAAACTTCAAACTTTGTAGTAGGATTAAACTATGTGCCATGCCAGTGGATTTACAAAGAGCAGATTTCAATTTCCCTTCGTTGGAACCAGACAACCAGCTTTTTGACACACACGCACACACACGGAGTTCCCACATTTGGATTTTTGTTAGAGGAGTTCGTCTCCCAACACACGCAATGAGTAAAAAAGCGACGTCTGAACATTTGGGGTATTGAATGCTGATTTAGAGGAGATTTGCAGTTTTTAAATAACCCGAGTGGTATTTATTTGTGCCAGTTAAATTGTAAATTTATGTTTTCTTTATTAAAAATGAGAATTTTATCCATTTGGAATAAACAGGCTAGTGAAATTAAAAAGAAACAAAACTGATTTGAAATATTGGGTGATGTGTTCGTCATTTAATAGAACAACTGATTTGTTCGCTAGTTTAACTATTCCAGTTCAAATAAACCCAACTCTACCCAAAAATCACTTCCAAATGTTCCCATCTATCACAGCTCGAGCTCTTTTCAGATAAAAATCTTAATTTACTAGCCAGTCACGTTATTAAAAGTATTATTTAAAGCTGGGGTGCGCGACAGACTTACCTCCACGTGGTGCACTAATACGCCAATAAAGTCTATAAACAGGCAGTTGACTTCTCACTTCAAACTACCAAGACCCCACTGTTTGTCATATTCGACCACTTCCACAGTACTCACCTCACCTTACCTTTTCTCTGTCTTTGTGTCTGTCTGTCTCCTTTACATCTGTGAATC